CATCGAAAGGGTGTGGGTGTGGATGTGGGTGTGGGGTGGGGTGTGGGTGTGGGTGTTTCTTTTCTCCATTGGCACCGGCACCCCACACTCACCCATACCTCCACACCCATACCCACACCCACACCCACACCCACACCCACCCACACCCACACCCACACCCACACCCACACCCACATCCACACCCACACCCTTTCGATGAACATTTTAATGTAAAAGCTGAAACTACTAAAATTCTCATTTAATACATTTGATAGCACTTTTCAAGAATTACAATTTCGTTATATTTTTAATTAGAAAACATAAGGTTATTGATGTCAAAAGAAGACCTTAATAATTATCATATACAGTATTATAGCATTGTCTATGATCTTTCTGTAGATACATTTTACTTCAAAAGTTGAAAGTACCAAATTTTTCATCTACCTCATTCGATAATTCTTCTCAAGAGTTACTGTTAACTGCAATCAATCAGATTTCTAATATCTTTTCATCGAACAACTCTAATATAATTGTGCATATATATATAACTCGACTAGTCAGATATCTTTTACTAATTGTGTGTTTATTCTTGTATTCCTATTGTCACATGAATAAGATCTTTGAAAAGACTACTAAAGAAAAAGTTTTTAAAGTTTGCTATCACAGCATATTAATTTGTGTAGATCTTGATTAATGAAATGAAATTGTTTAATCAAATTGGTTTTTGTTCAGATGAGGTTAAATCTTGTTTTGAAAATGATAAAACTCCCATTTGTAATTGATGTTTTGTCGGTTGTTGATGACGTTCTATCCGTCGTTTTAATAGCGGAACAGCAAATAGAACAAGGCCACCTATTAATATTGAACCACCAGATATTAAATATGGCCAAAGATATGGTCGAGAAAAATCTGAAAAAGCGTCACGCATTGTGCCTGAAATAAATTAATTATATTCAAAGAAATTTTTCTATTATTTATGTTCTTCTTACCAACAATAGGTGTTCCAATAACAACAGCAATACCTTGAAATAATAAAAGAGCACCGAAAGCATCAGATAACTTATCAACACCAACTAAATCTACAATAATAACTGATGTTAAACCAATATTACCACCAGAAAAGAACCCAAATAATCCAGCGTAAATCATATGTGTGTGAATAAAAGAATTACAAAATGGAGCAAGCATTGTTGCCATACCAGTTATGATTAATCCTGTATTAAATAATGTTAAACGATTAACCTGTACTCAAAAGAAAACAAAACGACTAAATCATATAGAAAAAGAATCATTTTGCTTTTTCTTAACACTACCCATGATCGATCAGCTAAATAACCGATAATAATTCGACCAAAACAATTGGCAAGACCAATTGACATAAGAATCCAATGTCTTTGATATTCAATAACTTTTGCATCAGCAGCTAAATCATTAGCGAAATTGTATGGAACATAAAAGCCAAGACTTGCTAAAAAATTTGACACAGCAAATAAAGCAAATGCGGGATCTTTTAATAAATTGAAATCAATTTGTTCAGCAATTTTTGTTAGGAATGATTTTTTTTCAGTTTTATTAATTTTTTCATTCTTCTCTGTATCATTTGTTTTTATAACTTCACGATGATATTCTTCAGTATTCTCGTTATATAGTGGAATCTTATGCAAGCTACCTTGATAAATCGCATCTTTACGTGAAACTACGACTGTTTTATTTGTTGTCACACTGCTAGATACCTTGTCATCGGATCTTGAATCAGTTTTATCATTTGAATGATTAATACAATGATTATTGGTCTTCATATCTGATAGCGATAGTCGACGATTACCATCCGACTGATAATTCTGTTCAACAGAAACTACAGTAGTTGGTTCTCTTATAACTACATTTATGCTTTGTAATGGCGTATCACTAAAACAAAGTGAAAATCATCCATATATCACTTAGAACAAAAGATGATCAGCATGTTACAACAACAGAAAAAAAGTAAAATATGCCTGAAATAATTAACTGCCGATCTCGTTTCTTTGTTAGAAACAAATATGAACAAAACCTACAGTCGAAATTTCAAACCTTTCTTGATTCATCGGAAGCAACTGACTTAGTTGTTCATCATATTGACTATTTGTATTTCTTGTTTGAAATACTTGTTGTTTAGCTTCTTTTCGTGCTTTTCTTTCTATACGTCTTATCTCACTCGGTTCTTGTGGTAATGGAATCTAAATAACGTTAATTGTTTTTTTTAGGTATTTTTCTTTTTGTCAAAAAATAAGAATAAATACCATGAAAATACCGAATATAATACAAGTAAGAATAATTGCGGCTTCTAACAGTAGCACACCTTCATAATCGAACCATAATGGAGCATTCATCACATATGGCATAACAGCAGGAAACACCAATGTACCCAAACCTGAACCACAAACCGAAATACCCATAGCGAAAGAACGTTTTCTTTCAAAATAAAAACCAACAGAAACAATAGCTGGTAAATAGATTAAACCAAAACCAATGCCTATTGACATATAAATCTAGAAATATTAAAATACCATAATACCTTTTAAAACATACCACCCAAAATGCCAATTGTGAGATAATAAAACCAAAGATTCGCCCAAAAATAACTGACTAAAAAACTTACAGCAGCGATACAACTTCCTACTATGGTTACCGTTCGACATCCATATGTATTTGTAAATATAGTTGAAATAGGTCCTATAAATTTGTTATTCAATACAAAAAAATATCTCTTAAAAGAAAAGTTTTTCACCTGTCACAAGTGTTATTGCTGGTAGAATTCCAAAAATAGTTGATACAGATCCTCGAGTCTTATTTAGATTAACCATCATCGGACGTAAAAATAAATCACCCATTGAATATGTTATTCTATTTTTTCTGAAATAAAATTATGATTCATAAAAAACAATTTACTAACCCATCCATGATAAAATGTATCATAAAAGATGCAAATACAATAAACCATCCCCAACCACCATCAGGTATAACAACATTCGTATTGCCGGTACTCACCATTTGTAATTTTTTTCCTGAAAAAACAAGAACAACAAAACAGAAATGATAATAACTCGTTATGAATGTCGAAGTTGACTACAAAATTAGAAACTAGCTGAATTTAAATTTGAAAGCAGTATATCTCTGTTCATGTAGTGCAGCATACTCGTTTAATCTATCAATTACACAAAAATGAATCAATATAAAACAAAAATCTAACAATTTTGACATTTTGAATATTTATCACAGTAACATTTCGTGGATCATTTTCAATTATGCTTTTTGCAATAATATGAATTAGTATTGCTATCAACAAAACATTGTACAAGTATTTACTGACTTAAAGTTTGTATAAATTTGGCATGCTTGAATAGGTGTAATTGTTGTCAATCTGTTGACATCAACAGTATATAATAAAAAAAAGAATAATTGAAAATGTTGTACGAAATGTTACAGCGATAAATATTTTAAATGTCAAAATTGTTGGATTTTTTCTTTGTAGTGATTCACAGATTAAATAAAAAAAAGTATTTGCTATATGAATGCATATGTACTACAAGGAACTGAATGTCGCAGTCACCTACGGCATACACGATATCATCAAATGAAATAGAATGATATTAGGAAAAAAAATATTTTTCGATAATTTCGAACGATCTATTTAGTTAGTTTATCTTAAGTATTAATTTTTTTTTTGAATATCAATATAAGAGGAACAAAGAAGATATGAGTATTTCTAGAGATCTTTTGCTCTTTTCATTAAATTTACAGTGTAGTTATCGATGAGGATGTGTCACATTCATATTCACACTCTAAAAATAAACATACACTTCTAAAACGTTGTTGATCGATTCTCTACAGTCATGCTTCGATAATGACGTCCACTACTGAAGAAAATAAATTGCAGATACCGTTGACTGACTCAAACACGTGACAACTAAATAATGATTTACCGAATAGCATTATTGATTCTTCTCATTTTTTCCCAAAGCTATGTTAGTATTCTATAAAACTGTATTAATTTTCAAACAATTAAAAATTGTTATTATTATTATTTTTTCCGAAAATGGAATGAAAATTCTGTTATCGAAGAACCAATTTGTCTAGAAAAGTATACAATTCATCAACAATGAAAGATAATTTTAAAATATCTTAGTTTCTGTCCACAAAATCTTATAGAAGACAACATTTATTCAAAACTTACAGAGGAATAATAGAAGGATGTCGTATTAATTTTTGAACGGTATAGTACTGTCAAAAATCACTTCATTATATTAGGAAATTTCTTTTAAACAAATTTCAAGTCTAATAAACTCACCTATGAACTAATATTGAAATATATAATTATGTTATATGTGTCTTTGCAACTAGTTTTGCTACTTATTTATAGGTAACGATGCTGCCTTGTCTTATTACGATTGATGCTATTGATGTGCATCAATGGTGCATGAAATTTTCATAAGGCAATCGGTGTCATAAGAGTATATTCGTTGTCATTGCACGTGTTCATTTTTTTTCACCTTGTTCTTCATCTAATCATCATTTTTCTTTTTTTTATCTATAGTTTGTGTCTCTATAATAACAAAATTTACATTGATATACGCACATGCTACCCATGTAAAAGAAATTGCCTCAATAATCACAAAAAATCTGATTTTTAATCGATTATAATCATACGATTCTTAATCACTAATTTACACAGAAATAATCACAAAAAAATCGGTTATTTTATTCAATTTGATTATAATCGGTTCGAAATTGAGTTAAAAAATCGATTATAATCAAATCGAATAAAATAACCGATTTTTTTGTGATTATTTCTGTGTAAATTAGTGATTAAGNCGCCGGTTTTTTTGCAACTACCGGCAAAACCGCCGGTTAACCGCCGGTAGAGCGCACATTATACCGAACGGTCTACCGGCGGTATACCGCCGGTTTTTTTCCGGTTCGAATCACATGGGCTACGACAAACATATCAATGTTCTTTTAACCTAATGACAGACTGTAACAGACATGCAGATATATCTGTAACGTACTAGCCCGTTTTCTGACATTTCGGAGTTTGGTTCCATCATGCCATATCAGATAGCTTGAGTTTTCCAGAATAGATAAACTAATAACAGCGTATTTAATATATTAATCCGTACGGATTATGTCGAAAGCTATTTCTTCACTATCTGTTTCCATAAATTTTCTCTCGTTTAGCACCTATTAATGGACATAAACGTTCATGGGACTACAAATTCTATCTTAGCTTTGTATGTTGACAAAAATGCTTGTTGTACTTTCATAACGAATAGCATTAATCGGCTTATGACATGTGTAGACAGAAGTATCCAATCGACATTCGCTCTCGTCATTTCTCTGTATTTGTCTCTTTATATTGCAAGAAAGGTGAAAACTCACTCAACCATAATTATAGTGCAATATTCTAAGAATTCATGAGATAAAAGACAATTTATTGATCCCAGCGAGTTCATTGATTGTCAATGTCGATTTGAATAGCATTATTTCAAGTAATCTCATATACTTCTCTTGATTTGAACCCATTCAGATCACGAATGAACTCTGTGTTGATCAAACTGGACTCAAAATAGGTGAATTCTATTGGTGACATTGTTTTAAAAATATAATTCATTCAAAACTGTCAATAGTCGTCAAGAAGAATAAAGTAATTGCTCGATATAACAGAAAAATTTTAGCAAAGAAACCTGAACTCACCTTTCAATCAATTATATTCAATGTCTGTTCACTTCATTTTATATGATGAGAAGTGCAACCTCGAGTATTGTTATATTTTTCTCATTCTTTTCTCTCAAGTTTTTTTCTACTAATACAGCGCTATGACGATATTTTTGTTTGATTTTTTATCCTGGACTCGTTCTTTAACATTGAATTTAATGGAATAATATAAATGTACTTTGAAAACAAACAATGATCCTGTCACACTTTTGCTCCTTCTCGAAAAAACATCAATGTAGTACTCACTGGATGATTTTGTCTTTCAACAAATGAACAGTTCTTTCTATTGATACTTCATATTTCGTCTATAGCAATAACGTATGTGAGATAGCTTTAGTCTGAGAGCATAAGTTTTGTTCTATGATCATTATTGATAAAAAAAAGAATATTGCTTCTCTTCTTTTTTTCGTGAATTTCAATTGGAAAAGTATGTCTTTTCATTATTGACTTCACTTTCTCGTTTTCATCATATACCATCAAATAATCCCTTTCGTTGTATGTTTATCAAATATTGAGCATCTTTTCAAAAGTTTTATTCGTTTTCATCACAAATGAGTACGAAACAACTTTTTCTCTTCATTGCTACCCCATATATATGGGTAGGTGAGACAAGTTTATTATTTTCATTGTCTATCCTGCGAAACAGATATCAATTTGTTAGATTTTTTCGACTCTATTCCTTTCATTTTGCTATTTCAATAGCACGAATACCTTGTCTAACTATTCTAGATGACGAGGAGTTTGTTATTCTTGTAAAACTACTTATTTATATTCGGAAAAAAGTTCTTTTCCACTTGTGGAAGTAGCTGATATCAAGTGAATTGAGCAAACAATTTTAAATGAGTAATTAAATTTTTCTTAGTAATTTTTCATTAAAAATTATAATATTTCAATGTCAAAAAGTCTTACTCCATTTAGCTGAATAGATCATCTATGAACTTTTTATCAGCTATTAGCTTATATCTTGTTATGTCGTTTCATTTGGTTCACTGTAGAGGAAATCAGATCATAGGACGGTCGCAAGTTCTGTCATGTACTTATTTCTGGCTCTTGCTGAACAAAGTGCATGAAAAATGTCACTATCTCTTTACTGAAATCGAGAGTTGCTGATGACAAGAAAATCTCCATATATACAATCTTCGAATAATGTTTTATTAGAAGACGTTTGTTTTTTCATGAATGATTGGAATCTGCACATTTCTATAAATCAAAATAAACTCAGTTTTGAATTCGATTCTTTCACTGAATGACAACATCGATCAAGTATCGATTTTTTTTGTCGCCAAGTAAAGAACAATCGAGAATACAAAAAGAAATGTCAATTGCTTCTGCTATGGACACGAATATAATACAGACAACGACAACAACAAAATCGTATTAACACTTCGTTCTGTTTGTCTTTTAATGATTGCAATACTGTTTTGAAAGTGATAGAAACGAAATCGAAAAACGCATTCATTTCGCTTTTTTCAAAGAATATTTTTTGAACAATAAAAAAGTGCCCAAAGGAACTTTCCATTAGCAGCAACATGTTCGATGATAGAAATGAGCAAAACACGGTCGAACATGAACTATGAAAAAAGTGTAACGATCGAAGATTTTGTTTACATGAAACCTGATCATGATACTGGCCATGTGTCGCAGTGGACCTTGATTTTTCGGATTTTTTAAAAAAGCAGGTCCTAATGCGATGCATGTGAAACAAAAATAATTCATTTGAAAGAATGAAAATAATTATTTATTGTTAGTGGAACGAACATTTTTGAATAATCAAAATTGTCTAAACCATAGTTCTTCATTTCTAACGACTGTTCGTTCTATCTGTCTTCTGCTTTTCTATCGATCTAATCATCAATATCCATGTTGACCAGAAGTATTCTATTCACTTTCAACTAAGTCAAACTTACATTTATTACGTATAATTATGTAAAGTAAGCCAACAAAATATGACTATTCAGTTCGTGACAATTTGGCTGCATTTAATGATCATGCAAAATTTATAAAACATTTGTGTCGTCGTATTCTCACATTGTCTTTTGACAAACAACCTTGTTACTCAATTGAAGATGATGGATGTAGACTCAAAATGTGGTTTTGATTAATAAATAAAACTGACAAGAATCAATGTCATTGATTATAAATATGATTCAATGTGTTGTGTAACAATACCATCCATGATTTATCTTGTTCAACTTTGTTTTACTTAGTATAAAAATCAACTATCTCATATTGCATGGATTAATTGAACAATTTCATATTTATTAAAGATTTTAAGTCATGTATTGATTAGCCAAATTTTATGAAAAACTGTCATATTCGAAAAATATCTTTGCTTCGATCGAAAAGTCTAAATCAAATATTATTATTCTCATCCTTTGCTACCGGTTCAATATACGTATATATTAAATTGTAATGTCTATGAGCATAATATCATCATTGAGCATCATTCAGAACCTTCAGTACCTTCCACTATAATTAGATGCTGCACTAGTCTTCTCAGGTTATTATTAAATGTGATTTGAAGAAAAAAACATCATAGGGGAATGTATGAAATATGCTTTTGAAATAAACTGGAAGTAAATCAATATCACAACAATAATATGGTATTAAATTACTTGAAGTTAAATTTTTATCTAATTTAATTCTTTTTTATTTTTATGCTTTATCAAACAACTAATATGAAATATTTAGTTAGCTATCGAGAATGTTTAGTCGATACAAAATATTCTCAAGTTTATGTTCTAGTTTAATTTTTGTTTCCTCCGTTAAATCTTTTTTGAGTAAACATAAAAAGCACTATAATCATGCGTTATAAAGAAGAAATAATCGCTTTACTCTTATATCTGAAAAAATAAAATGATAATTGATGATTAGATTGGACGTAGTTTAGTCGAAAAGCTCTTCAGAAAATTTTGAATAGCAACGTAGTGGAAAGAACAACAATAAATTGACTAAAATATGGCACTTCAATTACAGTACAATTGTTATTCATCTTTGAAAACTTGTTAGTTAGTTTACTGATTGTTTTATTCGATTTTTATTATAATGATTTTCGTTAATTAATACACTGGCTAGGTGATAGTCATTATTATGTAAAAGATTGAAATGCTTAGTCATTTCTATTCGAGTGAAAGTTCAACAAGCGATTTTCGATACACCTGAACATGAGGAAATCAAGCGATAACTTGGTTCTTCTGTTATGTTTCTTTTCTACATATATTTTTTTTACTTGTCTTTTTCTTCAATAGATCTTGTTTATTTTTGTTAACTAAAACTTATTAAGATATTAAAACCAACGGAAAAAGAAAGTAAAAATTAGAAAAATGTCATTTATTTCTCACACCAAATAAATGTATTTATATGAAATTGATACATTGTATTTTCGCCTGAAAAATAGGCAGAAAATCTAATTTGATTTCGTCGTGAGAATAAAACTGAATTATGTAAATAATGAAAATCGTTGTTATATTTCGCGTAGATTTGAAAAAAAAGTTGAATTTTTATCGTAATAATTACATTTTTAGGTTCTTGAACATTTCCCATTAAAAAGTCATAAAAGGAGAAAAAAATATTTATTCTCACTAGATTCAGTGAATATGATTGTCTCTAAGTCAGTGTCGTACGCGAACAACTATTATAGAACATGCAACATCATGCTAGGATGTTGTTTTCATCGTTGACGATATTTGTGCAGAGTTAGTCGTGAAGGTTGATGAGTCGTTCAAGATAAAACATTGATCGAATTTTCTTGTAAGTTTATTTGAAAATGAAGTCACGTTCTGGCATTAGTGATATTTCAATGAATTCAAATTAAGAAATATGAAGATAGGTTCTAAATCTTTTTCTTTGAGAATTAGAGAATTGCCTTGTTCTAAACAGCAATACTTATTTCGAATAAACTTCAGCAGAAAAACAGAGAATGTAGATAGATGTGAATATGTGCAGGTATGCGTGTGGGCATAGATGAAGAGAAGATCCACCCACATCCTATTGAAATCAAGAGATTTGGTACGTCTGTTACAAATGAATTTTGTTTTGAAAATAATAAATCTTTCATTTGTAATTGATATTTTGTTGATTATTGACAACGTTCTCTTCGTCGTTTTAATCCTGGAATAGCAAATAAAATAAGGCCATTTAATAAAAGTGAACCACCAGATATTAGATATGGCCAGAGATATGGTCGATCAGAACTTGGAAAAGCATCACGCCCTGTGCCTGAAATTAATCAAAAAAATTTCAAAAAAAGATTTTTCTTCATTGTTTTTTCTCACCAACAATTGGTGTTTCAATCGCAGCAGCAATACCTCGAAATAATAAAAGAACACCAAAAGCATCAGATAATTTATCAATACCAACCAGATCTACAATAATAATTGGTGTTAAAACAACATAACCACAAGAAAAAAATCCAAATAATAAAGCATAAGTCATATGTGCATGAACATAAGAATTACAAAATGGTGCAAACATTGTCGTTATACCAGCAATTATTAATGCTATATTGTATAATGTTAAGCGATTAACCTAAATAAAAGAAAGAATAAATCATATAGAAAAAGATGTTTTCTTTGTCACCCATGATCGATCAGCTAAATAACCGATAATAACTGGACCAAAATGATTGCCTATACCAATAGATATAATTATCCAATGTCTTTGATGTTCAATAACTTCAGCATTGGTAGCTAAGTCATAAGCGAAAGTGTATGGAACATAAAAACCAAGACTTGTTAGAGAATTTGATATAACAAATAAAGCAAAAGCAGCATTTTTTAGTAAACTAAAATCAATTTGCTCAACAGTTTTTGCAAGAAATGACTTTTCTGTAACTTTTGTAATTGTTTCATTTTTCATATCACTTATTTTTATAATTTGACAATGATATTCATCAGTATCGTCGTTATTTAACGGAATATTATGCAAACTATCTTGATAAATTGCATCTTTCTGTGAAATTACAACTGGTAGATCAATTGTTATTGTTTTTAACACATTTTCACGAGATGTCGAAAGAGTTTCATCTGTAGGATTATTACTATAGAGGTCATTTTTCTTCAAATTTGGCAATGATGTTCGATGTGTAGCATTCGATAGTATACATTCTTGTTCAACAGGAACAACTGCAGTTGATTCTGTTGAAACTACACTTACTTCTTGCCATGAGATCTGACTAAAACAAAATACAAATAAAATATACCTAGATGTGTCACGAATTATTTGTTAATCATATGCAACAAGAGAGTACCGGCATTTATTGCATTCATTTAAACCACAATAATTATTATCTAATTATTAATAGCATAAAGCATATTTTAACTATGTAAAACAAGAAATATAGTCCTGAAGACTAAATTGTCATCCTTAATTGGTCTTGTGTCTTAAGTATTCTCTTACTTTGATTCTCAATCAAGTGTGTGTTTGCACGATAATTTCTCTTACGGAAAAAATAAAAATGAATACTTCGAACGCCTTCTATCTTATGGACAATTTCTTTTACAGAATTAATTATTGATGAAAAAAGGATTTTCCAATTTACTTTTTCATTTAAATATTTACTCAAATAACAAGTCTAAATTTCAAACCTTTCTCGATTTGTTGAAAGTAATTGACTTTGTTGCTCACTATTTCGACTAATTGTAGTTTCTGTTTTGAGTCCTCGCCGTTTAGTATTTTCTCGTGTTTTTCGTTCTATCCGTCTTCTTTCGCTTGGCTCTTGTGGCAATGGAATCTAAATAAGATAAAAGTTTTAAAATATTCTTTTTTTTTTATCCAGATAAACAATACCATTAAAGCAGCAAATATAACGCAAATAAAGATAACTATTGCCTCAAGTAGAAGAGCACGTTCATAACCAAACCATAATGGTGCATTTATAATATATGACATAGTAGTTCGAAATACAAGTGTACCCCAACATGAGCCCCAAACCGCAATACCCATAGCAAAAGAACGTTTACTTTCAAAATAGAAACTAACAGAAACAATAGCTGGTAAATAGATTAATCCAAAACCAATACCTATTAACATATAAAATCTACGATTATCATAAAAGCAAGAATTTCTTTTAAGACATACCTCCAATAATACCTATCGCTAGATAATAAAACCAAAGATTCGTCCAAAAACAGCTTGCTAAAAATCCCACAGCAGCAAGACAAGTTCCAATTATTGTCACCTGTCGACATCCGTATGTATTTGTAAATATGGCTGCAATAGGTCCTAAATATTTACGATTACATGAAAAATTCATCTTCAAAGAAAAATTCTTCACCTGTCGCAAATGTTATTGCCTTTAAAATTCCAAAAATAGTTGTAACAGATCCTCGATTTTTGTTTAGACCATTCATCATGGGACGTAAAAATAGATCATTCATCGAATATGTTATTCTATTATTTTAAAGTAAGATTATCATTTACAAAAAATATTCTACTTACCCATGAATTATAAAATGTATCATAAAGGTTGCAAATACAATAACCCATCCCCAATCACCATCGGGTACAACAGCTTGAGAAACTACACTATTCATATTATCACCACTCGCCATTTTTAGTCTTCCATTCTGAAAGAAAAGAAAATCAGGAATAAATAATATAATAAGATATCTATGCTTTGCATAATCGATTCACTATTTAGCCATCCATTTTTAACAGCAGCAGAAAAAAAGTGGCACAACAATGTAAAAATTAAAAAGCATGTATCTTTATAAACTCCGCTTACATATTTGAACGTAATACATGTTTCTAATCTTTCGTTGTTATTGAAAGTTAAACGGACGAAAAAAAAATGAAAAAATTCTTTTTTTTTATCCGATTATGATACAAAAAAACGAAATTATCGAAAGACTATTTTCAAAATAAAAAACAAAAAATTTTCTTAATGTTTCAACGAAAATATAAAGAATCAAATAAAGATTATGTTTATTTTTCTTTCAATTGATGTCAATGTTGAACAACTGATGTTAATGATTTTCACATTAACTTATAACGATATTTAACATAGAAACTAAAACAAAAAATCAACTAAGAAAATATTTTGTTCTTTTTTTTGTTCTTCTATACATACACGCCTAACAGTACTTCATCTAGATGTGTTGAATGATTCAGATAACGATAGCCCATTACTGTATCGGAAAGATTAAAGGAGACCATAGATATAAGAACCTACATAGAATACCCTTATTATAAATCTTTTATTTTATTAGGAAAAAAAGAAACATTTTGTTTTGTCGACTTAGCAGAGAAAGTAAAGAAAGAAAGAAAGGAATAATATTGCTAAGTGTCCGTCGGGATATTGTGTACACACAATACCTAATAATGCTATTATTGAGTCAGACTATAAATAATAATTGATAACATAAAATATTTTTATAGCATACAAAAAATAATGTATTCTTTCACAATGAAACTGAAATTCTTTTCGGTAAGAATTTCACTCATTCTCGTTATAATATGAGATAATTACAAAAGTATGATATTTCATATATCTTGATGTGTAGAAATATTTTTTTTTCATTGTAAATAAATACCTTAAAGGAATTCTTCGTACTTACATTTTGCTTTAAAGAAAATGCATATTTTTTTTTTTCTAAGAATGAAATAACTATGCAACAAAGGGAATTTTTTGTTTTCTGCATTACAATAAAAGAACATTTTATTACTGATATTTATATTGCGTTAGATTATCATTCATTGATAACACACATTAAATAGATGTCAACAATTTTACAGGGAACATCATAATGGCGTCTTTTTTTTTTGGTGAAAAACTTCTTCATTTAGACTTACTTTTTCCAACAAACCAGTAGAGACATAAATCTGTTTCGTGTTTTTCTTTACTTCATGAATTCAAATTGTATGCTATGAGTTCGATAGATTTCGTTGTAAATGAGTTTTGAAAACTTAATTATAGTATTATGATTACTACAGTAGAATAAAATATCTAATGATGTCATTTCAATAGGATCATCTTCATATATCCGAAGCTAATTTTTTCCTATATCAAAAATTTATAGATACATAAATTAGACATATTTATAAAAAGATATTTTTGACAACATGAGATTGAAACGATACTATATTTATAGAAAATTATAATATTAAATATGAATGAATTTTATATTCAAAATAACTTAACAGAGCTCGACTTAAAATAATAAGGAAATGTACTTCGAACGAATCAGCCGATATGTGGTTGCCTTATTTTTCCATATTAGAAAGCTTTACAAAAACTCAAAGGACTTAGATAACTGAGATTCACAAAGTATGAACATATCATTTTCGTTATCATATCAGCGTAAGGATTTAATGTGATAATTATATGATTGTTTCTTAGCTAAAACATAAAACATTTTTTAACATGATTTTGTTGTTTTGAAAACCTACCTTTTTTAGCATTTTTTAAGATAATTCATAGTTTACATTCGAATAAATATATTTTTCTAACTGTATAGATCATAATATATTAGAAAAAGAACATTTGAGAAAAGTAAGATAAGACTTACAAGAGACTCTTCAGTGGGTTATCTGATTCTTGATTAAAAACTTCAAAACACCATACTGAAAATGAAGAGAAGCATATTTAACATTGATATATTTATCTTTCACAATTAATAAATCTGAATTCAATTTAAAATACTTGTTTTTTTTTCCATTTCCTTAGCAAAAATTAATTCAGTTTTCAAACGAAGCTCAGAAAATCATTGAAGTTTTATATATGATAAATAATGATGTACACGTTAATCTCACATATAAAATATGAATTACTTTTTCCAATGCATCAATATATTCAAACAAAAATAAAAGAACAAACTGTCAATATCAATATATAGTAATGGAGATTCTTCTTCCAAGAAAAACTTAACTAATGGTGGGTCTTGATGACAAAAATGATGTATTATATAGAAACAATCTATGGATATCAACAGATTATTAATAACATATATTTCTTCTATTTAATATGCAATCTTAATATTCTCGTAGTAAATAACACATAGGAGAAAATAAACATTTATCTTTCATTAATAATAATTGCACCTAGAGAAATATTTGGTGTTTGTAACATAACTTAACCGAGAAGAAATCAGACCTTTAAAAAAGAAATTGACAAATGAACATCAAATAAGCTTACCGTCACATAGACAAACAGATCAAAGGCAAAAAAGCTTCTTGAAACTTTTTTTAAAAATAACTAATTGAACTTTCAAACATTCTTATAATTGGATTACTAAATAACCATGAAAAATACATATCACAAAAAATGTATTCCATGATAGTAACTATATGTGAATAATAACATTGAACTGAGATTTAATATTAAAACATCAATTGAAAAACATCTTTTCATTTTTAAAACTAAATTTAAACTTACGTTTATAAGAATTTTATGTAAAATGTTTTAATAAAAATGATTCCATTCTTTTCAATCTCCATGAAAAAAAAACAATTCAATTTAATCGAATTTTCGTGTTAGAATCTCTCGTTTAGTTTTCGATATATCACGACAAATATTTTTCAACTAAAGTTAATTTATTTTTTAACAAATTATCTTTTTCTTTCAAAATACTTGTAATGATATTTGTTAAGGTTTTTCGTTTACATTTCAACATTGTTTTACTTTTCGTAATTTATTTCTCTGAGTTTCATACTGCCAAGTAGCACACGTTGACAAATAAACAGCCGTTAAACTTCGAAAAAAGAAAATAAATATTTCAAACGATAGAAGAACGTGGGTGTGGCTAGCTATGATTTTTGTCTTCTTCTCTCACATTTCACATTCACTACTTTTCTTGTTTACCGGTATCCATTACTTGTTATCAATTACTTTTGTTATTAATTGATTTTCATATAAAAATCACAATAAACTGAAATTCATTTCAACAACTAATTATGTTTGACACAATCAGCGACAGACATCACGTCTAATGGAAGGATTGAATCGCATAAGTGCTTTATTCTGCGTATTAGTGGATCCTCAAAATTTACATATGGTTCTGCATATATTTCTTACCTCAATGATGAACCTCTTCTCACTTGAGGTAAATATTTGAATTATGTTACACTTAACATTTTTATTCTTTCATATGTACAAATATATATATATTATATGTGGAAGAAAAAGAATGAAAATTTTTTCACATCATTACTACTCTAAAAACATTGTGGAGAAGTCAATGACATACTATACATATCCTTATATCTCCACTCTCAAGGTTGTGTCAACAAATCTGTTTCAAACAAGTTTTATTAAGATGCATTTATCGATGACAGAAAATTGAAAAAGATTTTTAATGTATGGTATTTCCTTCAACAGAGACAAAATTCCACCACGTATTCACATATACAAAGAATGATACAATGTGAAGTTCTCCATTAATCATTGAATATAATCGTTTTTCACAAGTACTTCACCATGCAGATGTTTGATACGAAAACAAGACTCCTGCTCTACTCTCTATTACTATTACTAGTATTATCATTCTTAAGTCACGTGAATGGCCGAGAAATAGACCTAAATGGTAGGTTACAGCATTTATTATTATGTAAATGAATATATTTTACATAAAATGATGGCGTTGTACTATTCAGAACAGCGCAGATTTAATTAGAACTGAGATATTAACGGTATTCCAGAATAACTGAGGAAGATTTGTCAACGACATTCTTCATACTTTTTCTTGTCGTAGTAGGATTACAGAACACCGCTGGATAAGTCAAAAGATCTAGCACCCATCTAGACAGCATTACAATCATCTACAAAGAGAATCCGCGCATTTTTACGTAGTTCTGTGCATTGCTTTCTAAAACTTTGTGGTGTCAGATTTTTTTATCTGGGTATATTTTGCCTGAGAAGTGTTTTCATTTTACACGTACTTTTCCATCATGATAAATCTATTTCATTCACTAGGAAAGTTGTCTAGAAGTCAATTGTATGCTTAGATGCCATATACGATAAAATACAACTGGTTTTTCTGTACGAAATGATTATTAACAATGTATCGCTAAGGCAGATTAGAGAATGAAAATCAGATACATAAGTTTAAGATAAATATTCAATTGTTACTGTTTTTCCTTTACATTTGGAAAAACCAGCTCCAGTGTAATGCTTCGTTCTTCTTTATAGTTCAAATGAAAAAATGAAGACTTTGTCAAAAACTTCCACCGGAAAATTCTCTACAAAATGAGCTACTTTTGATTCAAATAAAAATGATCCAAAGGGCTCAATCACTCAGATACATTTTTGTCGTTGATATAACTATTTTGATTAATTTAACATATATTTGTATAAATATTTTGCTAGAAAGATTGTTGGATAACTATATATTACATCATTTGAAATAGATATGATATATTTTCAGTCTTATTCTTGACATCCGATAAATGATCTAATCGTATAAATCAATAGACATGTGTCATGGTTTTTCGTATATATCGTCCAGTGAAATATTGCTATTCTTTGTGAAAGCTTATGTATTGATACACACATGTACAACGAAGTATATAACATAAATAAATCTGGCACCACGAAGTTTTAGAAGACAATGCACAGAACTATGTAAAAAAGTAGGGGCTTTCTTTTTAGACTAATTGAAATGGTGTCTAGAGGGATGATAAATTTGTTGACTTATCGGGCGGTGTTCTTTCGCTCGTTCTACCAGAAGATGCATTGAGTGGTTGATGTCAGAAAATGAGACAATTTAATTCGAAAGCTTCAAAATTCTTCTTGAACACTACATCTTCAAGTGTGAACAGTCGCTCTTCACGGATGTGATCATCGTTATCGTCGTTAAATGTTTCACTTCACATAGTGCCCACCTAACATGTTGCTAAATCACTTTTTTAAATTCTACACTCAAACAAAAATGTATCGACATTTCTTCTCGATTGATAATAGACAGCAATTGTGAGTTCGTTTGTTAGGACAGATGAAGAAATGATCGGCTGCATACCAAGTTCATAGATCAATATCGTGTTTAAATTGTTTTCAATTGGAAATTATTCGGATACAAGGTTTCGAGCAAAAACATGATGAGAAGTATAAAGTTAATATGGACTTAAGTTCTTAATATTTGCTGGTTAGTTCATTGGCTTTCTTTCCGATGTCTTGTCTATAGTGAATGGCAATGAATTGTTTGGATTGTGGTCTCATCTCTTTTGTTGATCGATTAGAATAGAAAAATTGTATGTAAAGAAGAAGAGTTTTCTTGATGACTCGAAAAGGAAAAGGTAGTTTCCCCTCAATATTATTGTTTCTTTTCAATCTCAGTATCATAAGTCATGCTTGTTGTAATTGATAAGAATTTACTCTGGGAAGAAATAAGAACACATATGTCGGTGTGGAATAAGAGTTTATGTGTTGCTGTCAGTGTAGATATGATGTGGGTTCTATCTTTGTCCACATCGACACTCACATCCTTAGATGAAACGATGGACAAAATACATCAGCATGTTACAAATAAATTGAGACTGTCTTTAGAAGTATTTATGGTAAGAGACTTTTATTGTAATATTCTTTACTATAAATGCATTTTGTTAAATATTACCAAACACTATCAATTACTCACACTTATCATAGAAGAAATCTTCCTCACTAGAGAAACTAATGAAGTCTATATTTAATCATTGGAAGAAAATGTTGTATTTGACTGTGTAACAATAGAAATATGTATTGTGCACATTCCGATAGAATTTTTATGTAATCCTTTGTAATTGACAAAAAAAATATTCTCACTAAGTTTTAAAATTGTATTATCAACTAAATGAAAATGAACATATTTCAATTGTTATGTAAAATTAACAATAACAAAATGTATAAACATGATAAATATAGCCTTAAAGTCAGATTTGAATTATCTCAGAAGAACATCGTAATTGATAAAGGTCAACTAAGTAGATATTGATGTAGTTCTTGTCGGATTAAATTTGGAAAACAAGATGTTTCAGAGAAAATGTAATCATTAACTTTGATGCGAAGTGAAACAAATTGTTGTAAATGATCAACGAGAAAATATAATAAGATTAACAATATGTGTCGTAGATTTATTTTTACCGTCGACAATATATAATGGTCTCCGATTCTATTGCCTGTACGAATCATAAATACAAAACGAAACTTTATTCAAGTTAAATAACTGATTCGATAGTAATGTGCAAAAACGTTGAACACAACCCAATGTCATTGCCACATCGTCCATATCCAATGATTGTATGAAGTTAATAGAAAATGACATTTATTATTTCAACAGGACTCAAAATATGCTGTAAATTCAAATTTTACGATAAATGTTTCACTCTAATATTAAATTTCAATAGCTTTTAGAAAACGATTACCTCAATACGAAAAATAAATATGAATAAAAGTAGCAATCCATACTTGTTCATTGATACAAATTCCAAGATTATCATGATTAAGTAATGTTTTCAAGAGTAAAATACCACCCTGAATACCTAAGTCTAGTGTATATACATTATAAGCCATTCATAATATTGCTTCAAATTCAGCTGCAGGAACAGCCTTACCTTCATCAATTGAAATATTTGTTCATAAAGACCACGGAACCAAAGATGATATAGAACTTTTACAATTATCAACATCTGGAGGACAACTTTTGCTTTCATAAGAAGTTAATACTAATTCCGTTGCACGCGGAAATAAATCGACTGCATTGGTTGTCATTTGATACTATCTAAATAGAAAAAAGAAGAAAATATTTCTATAGATCTTTTATAGAAACAATATATTTTCTACATAATTTTTTCGCATTTATAGCAAACAAACTACTACTACGAATAGTTGGAAGCACTTTATCATTATACGGGGAAGCATATACGACAAAACCATGATGAGTATAACTATTACTATAAATCTGATATTCTTATATAAACATCTTTGTATGATAGATTAAGAATATACGTTGCTCATGGTTTTAATTTGACCGATACATAATTTCTGAAGTGTTACCTAAGAGTTCAATAGTTCGATGAAATCTAATGCTATGTCGACAGTCCATACGTAGACGAGATAAATACAAAAGAAGATGACCATCAATAGGTGCAAGTAATCTAAAACGATTTATATTAGTGATACTTTTACAGATAATAGAATGTTACTTACTACTTAGTTCATATCAAAATTTTCGTTCTTACGTATCAATAGATTGCCTACACTAAAAGAAAGATTTGGTAAAATCATTTGTAATTTAAATAAATGTTTTTTTAATTAATTAACAGATTCATAAATATGCTTAAATGAAAGTCGCCAAATTCTTAGAAGAGGCAGTTGTGAATATACCTTTTATAAATACACAAAAATTAAATTTTCTATCATAATATTAAAAAATTCTTTTTTTATCAAAGAAAAAAATCTAAATTTCATAATGAATTGAAAAGAATCTTTGCTTATTTGCCTTAGCTAGATAAACTCCTTCAACTTCAAAATCATTGAACGGATTCAATTGAATCACATCAAATAACAAAGTATGGATTTATTTTATTAAATGATTACATAATAATTTGTCAAATTCATGCGATTTAATATCGATTAAATGAAGACGTTGAAGTAATATTGTCTGATAGAATTGAAGAGACGATGAAATGAATGACCATCCACCAGCAATGTAACTTAATGTTTTACGTAATGAGACAAGACGACGTTCAATTAATTTCAAAACATTTTGACAAAGATTGTTCAACATTAATAATGACATTATATTATCATCAATATGAATGTACTACAAATATTCATCCATAATAATTCTTAAAAAACGTTTATTTAATAATAAAGAATGATTGAAAAATTTCAACAGGAAACAAATAACCAAAAATTTCAAAAAAATATATATTAGCAGGTAGGAATTCAAACGTACTGATGTTCATTTCTCTTTTACATTTCTTTTTTATTCTTATTGAATTATATATACTGGGATACACAATGATATACGTTCATCTATTTCGTTGAATGAGCATTCTTTTTTTGGAATTTCTTGCTTTTATTCTACAGGGTGTCACATAACCTTTGTCTCCCCCCCTACACCACCCAAGTGACAGATAATATCAGAAGGTTTTTATACCAAATTAAAGCCGGTGAAAAACTGCATCTATGGGTATAATTAGATTAAATGTAGCTTTAGCGATTATTAAAATATTTTGCACAATAGATTAAAATGTCGTGGATTACACAATATAGAATCAATCAAAGAACTATTTCGTCTCTTTCTCAACGANTTTCACAATTCGAGGAATACTGTGAAGACTGATGATTGATGTCATATGCAATGAGTTATTGAGTTAATCACCATTGAGTATTTGTCCCTAAACAAATAAAGAAATTACAGAATTAAGTTTCACATTTTCTCAATTGATCTAGATGTGAATCTTATTTGTATCATACTGTCTCAGCATCTCTATGTCACAGTAGATATGTTTTCTATTACAATTTTATTTTGTTATTTTACATGTCTCCTAATCATGTTGTACAGGGTGGGTCATAAATAACTCAGCGATGAGAAATTTAAATATTTTCACTTCGGTTCAACCAAATGGGCTGGTTTTTCGGTTAGTGACAGAACTTTACTCAAAATTTTATTTCATGCGGACACGGTAAGTAAATATTGCTACTAAATATGATAATTGACCTCACGAAAAAAATTTTACTTGTTGTCAAGTAAGAAAAATACATGTAAAGCATTCTGTAGATAATTTTCAGCTGTCGTGTGAGAGGATGGCAAGAGGAAAAGAAAAGAAGATGTAGGAATAATATGANCATGGATGCACAGCGAGGAAATTTTCTGAACTAATGTTCATTCGGGAATTAAAGATACTCGGTTAAAAATTGAATAAGTCGAGAACGCAAGCAGCTAGCGGTCAGCGATTTTGAGCAATCGAAAGAAGAGACATAGGGGCGTATTTTTCTCCGATAATGTGTAAGACAAAAACCTTTTAAGACTAATTATTTCTGAAAAATATTCGAAAAAATGCATGAAAATGTCTTGTCGCTCCGATGAAAATTTGAAAAAAGGAAGAAAGTTTAGTTGAAAATCAACGCAATTTCCTATTATTTGAGTAAGCAAATATATGATTTCGTTTGTTCAGCTTTAAAATGTGAGAACATAACCCTTCGCATTGTGTTTTGAACTATAGATCTGAAGTCCCTCTATCTAAATCATATGTCAAAATCAAAATTTCATCGGAACGACAAGACATTTTCATGCATTTTTTGAATGTTTCCCAGAAATAATTAGTTTTATAAGGATTTTGTCTTATACATTATCGGAGAAAAAGACGCCCCCATGTCTCTTCTTTTGATTGCTCAAAATCGCAGATCGCTAGCTGCTTGCGTTCTCGACTTGTTCAATTTTTAACCGAATATCTTTAATTTCCGAATGGGCATTAGTTAGTTTAAATCCTGAAATTCGTGTCTCACAACTAAGACTCATAGCTGAAGCCCTTCAGATATCGAATCAGCAAGTTACTAGCAATAGCCAGTGCTTCAGGCGTGAAAATTCGAAACATTGCAACTTTTGAGTTTTAGACTAAATGGTTCAGATAGTTTTCTCGCTGTGTATCAATTTCATATCATTTCTAATTGTTGTTTTGTTTTTCTCTTGGCATTCCTCTCAAATGATAATTGAAAATTATCTATAGGATGCTTCACATGTATTTTTCTTACTTGACAACAGGTAAAATTTTTTTCGTGAGGTCTATCATAATATTTAATAGCAATATTTGCTTACAGTGTCTGCATGAAATAAAATTTTGAGTTAAGTTTTATCACTAACCAAAAAATCAGCCCATTTGATTGAACCGAAGTGAAAACATTTAAATTTCTTATCGCTGAGTTATTTATGGCCTACCCTGTATATGTTAGTTGTTAATAATGACCGATCCAGTGCGCGAAAATGTCAAAGAAAAACGTTTTTAATCTGTACACGCGATATTATGTCTTGACCGTTGCGTGCCAACTGTTTAGCTTAATTTCTATGCATTATCCGCTCGATCGGCCTGAGAATATCCGAATAGGGATGGGAGCTGGCATGATTAGGAGTTTTTAAACATTTTCGGATTGTTCAAGACTAGTTCTTTGTTGCAGGTATTTTATGAACTAGATTGAATATAATAATAGTGCGCCTCGCATTACGGTTTCAAGCCTAACCAGTAATGGGACATTTCATTTTTATAACACAAGTCACAAGTCATCGGAGCAAGATCAACATTGTACTAGTTGTATTAATATTGATGAATTCGGCAACAGGAACGTCAAACTTCAGAAACTTCACCATATTCTCAATTTTAAAAAGCATGCAAAGTGTTGATCCAATCGAAAACCAAATACAAACTAACGCAATTTGGAGTTGGTCTCAACTAGTGCCCAGCGAAAATATTCTTCTATTTTTTGACGACGAAAAGTCTTGCTCTTTCGTGCGAAAACTGTATCAAAACATTTCTTGTCATAGTTTGCTATTATCCGAATGCTTGCATCCAGTTTATAATCTTCCTTACATCAAATGTGCCTTTGATCTAGCTCAACGACAAAAACGAACATCTATTCTGGTCTATGTCAATGGCGATATTATTCTACACAATAGCATATCCCACGCTCTTTCTTTTGTAAATACTCGTCTACATGAATTTTTTCTTGTCAGTTGTAGACGAGACTATGTAATATCTCGTTCATTAAATTATTCTAATCCAGAAAAAACTTTGCAAGATGGATTGAATAATAGTCAAATTCATTCAACGACTGGCATTGATTTTATTGCGTTCAAAACAGACACTTCAATTTACATGCCTCCGTTTCTCGTCGGTGTTTACCGATGGGACAATTGGCTGTTAAGTGAAATCTTACTACGAACAAGCGTCACTGTTATTGATGCCACTCAATCGATCTTTATCATTCATCAACAGCCGAAAAAACTCAAAGATGCAAGCCGAGTGCATCATTCTTCTCGAACAGGAGCAGCTTACAACGATATGTTGACGCAAAATATGTCAGGAGTAGACTATAAAGTCGGCTTTATTAACAATGCTCATAAAGTACTCTCAGGTGATTGTCAAAGAAATCAATGTGAATTAAAGGACAATTTGGCTCGAAGTGAGATTATTCTACTCAAGCAAAGAGCAAATACAGAGAAGTACATAGCCGTACTCACAGTTAACAGTGGATACATGCCACTAGCATGGAATTGGGTAAGTTCATCATGCTCACTTTCTCTATCGCATATATAGAAATACGTAGATATCTACATCTGAAAAGAGTGGAACTTTATCGAATATCAGAATTTTTCTTGAGGGTATGAATGCATGTAAATGTATGCACAGCAGTGTCAAATCTGAAAGTTGAATTCGGTTTTGAAGACCTTTTCAGAAATTCAACCATGCAATTGTTCAGACCAAATATTCACATACAGAGACATTTCCATGGTCCAGTTAAAATAATCAAATAGTCAACTATTTAATTATTCATCCGCAGAGATGCCAGTGTGGATTTTTGAGCGACAGCGACATCGGGAGAGATGTCATATACGTGATTTTTGCATATAATTTAATGTATTCATGTCTGAATATCTCAGTTTATTATTTGAGTATATATAATAAAGATCTAAATAGCTAAATATCTAAATTTCAAGTTTTCGGATGCAAGACATGTAATAGTTGAATTCAAGTTTCAGGCGAGACATATTTGGAGCTTTTGGCAACACTGTTGAGCTTTTTCAAACTACATGTAACCTTTTAAAACAGTTTTCTAGATTCTCAAAGTTTTTCAGGAATATTCTAGAGCATCTCACAGCATAATACTATGGATATAAAAGGGGTGTGATACAGGCTCAAAGAAAGCTAGTTAGCTTGGTAATATAGGAGAGATAAGAAGCCTGTTTTTCCATAGAAAGATCTATGACCAACACCAAGTCTATACAGAGTATCATGGCTAGTACCAGCTTTTTAAACTCCTTATTAAAACTCTTCTTGTGGCTCGTTGTCTATGCAAGCATTCGTATTCTGTCTGGCTTATTTTTTTCTGACGTTTGCCCTCTTCACGACTTTTCCTTATTCTATATATATGTGTAGCCAGATAGCTGTTTCCAGTCTCATAAAACTCTATTGAAGCAGTATGATGCGAAAGTCTGTGCCATAGATCATTTTTCTCTTACCTGTGGGGTCTTTTCTATGGTCTAAACGAAAAAAGAGAATCCTATAAAAATTGAAAGCATTTCACCAGAAGTCTCAACCAAGCCGTATTAAAACTCGACTAAAATATCTGAGAGAAATTAACGTAGATCTGCACAGGAAATAGTAAAATTTGGTGAGACAATTATAGGAACTGTTTTACTGTAGTTTTGATTGAAAAAATTGAATTCTTTCTGTTTATGGTCCTCTATCCATGTGTCAAGATCATAGCGAGATTGTGTTAGTTGCCAAGAAGTCGCTATTCTCATTATCTTTACTTGTTTTCTGAGGCTAACACACATATACAGCAAATGACATATAGTAACTATTATTATATCCTTGTTTTCTGGTGTGAAAACAACAAATGCATAGATGATTACTTGTTTCTGTACTCAATCGTGACAGCAATGAGAAAAAAACTACTATAGCTGATAAAGGATGATGAATTGTGTATGTGACTCATTTGACTATGTTGCAATAGAGAGATTAAAAGGCTATAGGGTAAGTAATCAGATTAAGAGAAGCATCTATTATATCAATTTTTAGCTGAATGAAGAAAGGGTAGGTGCAATAAGTTATATCAATATCGGATTGTGAGAAACAATTAATAATGGAAATGAGAAAACAATAGGAAATAAAATATAGCACAAATCTTAAAGGAGAAGGGTAAATAAAAAATAAAATAAAACAATTAACCTGCTGAGTGACTTGTTCACAAAAACTATGGAAAATGAAGCGGAATAATAAATGCTTGAAACAACAAAAAAAAATTACATCTATAGAAAGCATGGAAGAAAGACGAAAAAGAAAATGCTATGGCATGTTTATATGCCGTTATTTTATGAATATCATCGTTTTCAATGCTAAAATATTTGTTCAGGATGACGCTAACTCGATCCTGAAAAAAATTTAGATTTAGTTCTTTTAGCAAGCTGAACAATTATGAAACGAAGAAGATTCAGTTAAAAAAACAGCCTGTCGATAGCAACCGAAACAATAAAATCAGTAGAAGCGCTTAATTAATAAATGATACACGTGTTTTAGCGAATTTTGACAACATTAACGGGTTCGGACATTTTTTTGCCAGGCTTGCTGGTAAGGATATTTCACAAATAAACTTTAATATTGTCTGAATGGCGCATTGTGAGAATGGAAATCCGATTGATATTCAAGAATATTTCGATAATCTTTTTACTTGATTATGATTTTCCTGTTATAAAGTTTTAGTTATTGCGTATTACTTGGTAATTAGTAGTAGCCTTCTGATGCGTAACCAACTTTTTTGTCCAGAGAATTTTCACAAGTCTTCAAAGCATTAAACAGAGAAGTTTTTGACAAAAAAGCAGCTACAAGACTTCAAAATTGAAAAAATGATACTATTAAAATAGTGAGAAGTTGATTTATTGCAATCGATGCCTGATAGTTAGGTAATTTCGCACGATCTATTAAGCTTGACTAAAATAAGTTTTAATGGTGTAGATTTGTTGGGCAAAACGAATTGGATTTCACAACTACATTTTACTTGCTGAAGATTTGGAAGCCTATAAGATACTACGAGCCGCCAATGAACCAGTATTCATTTCACTTGAACAGTCATTAAGTGTTTCTTTGAAAAAAGAAGCCAAATATGGTTCATATGATTTCCAGATTACCATGATGTACCGTCTGGAATTCCTTATGCGTGTACTCCGTGCGGGTTACCACTTCCTTAGTGCGGACATGGACAGTGTTTGGCTTTCAAATCCATTTGATTACGTTTCACATAACTTATCAATCACAATTCAAGGCCAAACACACAAAGAAACGAAATTGAGCGGAGGCTTTGTTATTGTTCATGCCACAACACAAGGTTATATGTTTTGGCAGGACATAATCAAATGCCAATATCAGAATCTAGAGCAACTGCGAAAGCAGCAATATAGTAAACGCAAGCGTCCACCTAGTGATTTCACAGAGCAAGAATGCATCAACGATCGACTCAATTCCACCGAAGTTCATCTTCTTGATCCTTATCTCTTTCCTGATGGGCGTTCTTTTTTCGATCTGCAGCGACCACAAAGTCGAGGAATTGTACCAATTGTCATTCATGGAAACTGGTTAGTAGGATTGGAGTCCAAAGTAAAAAGATTACGATCATGGAATCTCTTAGCAAGCATAGGTAGCTCATGCGATTCTTTGGAAAATGGTATACCTTATACTCTGTCCAATAGGATTTCCCCTGTCCGCATTCGTATTCGTGTGCTCACTTACAATCGACTACAAAGTTTTCAACGACTGCTTGAGAGTCTTCAAGCTGCAGATTATTCAAACGATTCTGTTGCATTAGATATTTCAATTGATCGACCTTCCTCAGAAGCTAATGCAGCAGAAAAAAACCAATGGGAACAAGTTATTGCATATGTGGGTGACGGTGCTGAACACGAATCTAAGTTTCGGTAAGTGTAAACAAAAGATGTTGGCGTATTCGAGATAAACGGTTCCATGAAAAATCATGATATAGGAACGAGAATAGGTTATTCGACAACAACGCCTTCAGTCTATATTCCCATTCAAAATGTCTTAAAAACATGACCAGCTTTACAGTCTCCTATTGGTTACTTCGAATACCTATTGCGCCCATTACAGAAAGATTCTATGAGCAAGATGTGGGTTCAGGTACAAAGCAAAGAAAAGTTAACAGATGTTGAAACCTTAGGAGGAAAATAAAATGATCATCTAGTAAAACGATCTTCAACAAGGTCTTATTTCTAATATCTTGTCTTTCATGATATTTTCCATTGATGTTTCGCATAGGTAATAATAATCTGAGTACGAGTAATCAAGATGTTCACGATGGTGACCTAATAGTTTTTTAAGTAATTCTTGTCTAATATTTAAAAATAATTATCTGAACAATTAGCGAAAATTTAGTTTCTGCCATACACATTTTCAAGAGAATATTACAAAAAAGGCTTTCTACGTAGTTTACCTGAGCAATTTTTATACAGCCAAAATATCTATTTACATAAATTGATGCAAATAACGGAAAATTTACACTTTATGCAAAGAATTATTAATATTAGTTCCATCTAATCTGTTTTATATTTGAATCTGATTCGAGCAACACTGACATTGTACGTCATTGAATACTGCCACCGCTCATTGTTATTTGCAGATAGTCAGAATGTACCGTAGTTGTTGCTAAAGCATTATCCAACTTTAGTAATGCTTGTGCCATCAATATATTTATTAGCATCATATGACAATTGTGTCTTTGAATTAATGCTTATGTACATCGCAAGTCTTCGTCTGATGTTACACACTTATTCTGTATAAAAAATAGAGCAGCGATATATATAGAACCGTTTCGAGCTAGCATTATCAGAAGATGGTGAATATACTCCACAAACGTCAGTGTTAAATCTCTCTTTCACGAAAAAGTTATTATTATCCTATAATATTACCAAAAGATTTCTGTGTTGTGATTTGGCAAAAAATAACGTTCTAATAGACAAACAACAAATAGAACATGCTTTCACAATTTCTAAGCATTGTTTCTGCTAATAATGAACTTCTGATTTACCAGAAGCTTAAATGGAATATACTATGATGAAAAAGCGTCATAGCTTGCACAAGAAAAACGAATGACTTCTCCCAAATAGGCATCTTATGAGTAATAAATTGGTGTGAAATAGTAGAAGCGAATATATCCTTGACATTATCTTCATTTTGGTTAAAAAGTGCTTTCCAATTTGAAAGTTTATTATCAGAGTTTCTATATGATCCTTAGGTCATTTTTGTTGAAGGATCAATCGAAACTTTCAGACTAGCTATACCAATATCAAATGCGTTCTGGATCAAAGACCCAACACTAAAGAATAATATACAGATATATTTGAAACGGTCAACCCGATAAAGCTGATGGCATAGAATTCGTATTCTAACTACTCAAAAGGTGGACGAACAGATGAAGTACTTCAGCGCTTAAGGATCAATAGTCTAGAAAATTCACTAAAATCTATATATCAACTCATTGGTAGAAACCTTTGAGTATAACTGTTCCAATTTTAATCCGACAAGCTTGTGGCTGCGTCAGGTGCACTTATAAAAATAACAGTAAAACTTCGTCAATTTAGTTTATTCTCTCGAAGACCGTGAAAAATTTCCTCCTGAACAGCTCACGAATGATCAACATTTTTTATTGTTCAACAGTGTCAGGATTTTACAGTTACTGTTTACTTCGTATGGAAATAGTAGAAAAACAACCCAGTACTATAATCTTAGACTTCCAAACTCCTGTAGCACTATTATTTCAGTGGGAAAAAGAAACAAAATAATCGTTAAAAAGTAATGATTGTATTAACAATAGAGTCTCAAGAATCGTTTATTTTATCATTTTTCAATTGAAAGGCTACCTTTAAAAAAATTAAAACTCTATATGAGATGTATATTATCAAATCCTCATCCGGCCAGATCAGTCTTCTTCTCCAAAGTCTGTACAACATTCTTTGGAAGTAAACAATCATCCTGTCAAATAGAGTTTGTTTATATCTGATAAAGCTTCATTTACTGCCTTTCTTTTCTTTCTTTATTATTGATATCTGTTATTACATCAGTTAAGAGGTTTTACAAGAGTTCAAAAGTATCTTTCAAATCAATAAAGTTGAGAAATCAATTTTGCATTTCTTTCCACAAATTGATTCGAATCATTTATGAATTTCTGACTGCGTGAATAAGTCTATGATATCGCTTCTCCCATACTCAAGATGTTGGGCAAAGATATTTAGAATTACTGTTTTTTTTCGATCTCTGACCATCTCAGAACTCTGAATCTGATTTTCATTAGATCTAAGGCACTAAAATATCTGATACGATTGAAATATACAAGCAAATGTTGTTTTCTGAAGATCTTGTTGAGATATTGCTTACCAGTTGCAAAATTTCACGATCTTACTTACAAAATGTTCCACTAGGGCTGTTTTTGCTAACTATTGCCAACTTTATTTTTTCCTGTTTTAATGCACCACATTTTAGAGCAATTTAGCAGATCAATTGATCTTTAAAACCTAAAGTCAAGTCCAAATGAATCCTACACCAATAAGCTCGAGATGCGTAAACTCGGCAATTTTGTCCTCTGAAAAAAAGACTGCGTTGTTCTTTCATGTTCGACTGAGCCTGACTGGTGTATACATTTTTTTCGCATGTAGCGTAATTCGATGAGAATACGGCTGAAAGACATTTATTCTTTTATGATAGAGGTTCTATAGAAAAATAGTCAAGTAATAATTTTCATGAAGATCAGTGAAGTGTAATGTTTTAATTGGGGTCACAACTTATGTAAAAAGAACCCTTGCATATGTTCAAATTGACTTACTTCCGGTATCAATAATAATGGTTGACTATCAAGTACTATTTTCCTCCGAACAACATCATACCTAGAAAAGATCTTATCAGATTTCATATGAAAAAAAGTCTGCTACAAGAAATGTGCCAAGTGGAGTGTTGACGTGGTATGGATGTGGTGTGGATGGTGATGTGAGTTTTCTCTTGATTCACAATCGCATCCAAAGTAGATCAAAGAATCTGTGTTCATATCATGTCAAGTGTTACACAGAATACGAGAAAATTCGATTCACTGTAACGGTTTATGGATAAAGATGGAGAGCACCAAGAGATACATATGTCTCCGGTTTACTATTTTTTCTGTATAAAAATTCGGTTTTTAAATCCTTCTCCAAGTAGCACCTTTTGTACGGCATTTTGAATGATACTTCCCAAATATTTATAAAACTGATTGAAATTTTCTTATGATTTGAACGTTATTTGTATTTCTGCAACAATAATGTGTAGAGAGTTGAAATTCTATCCTCAGGTAGTTCTACACTTGCAATGCATGTATAATAAAACTAAGCCTCCTCCAGTATTGAAACGTTTTAGAAAAAAAATACTACTTGAAAGGGTTGAAATTTGTTATAACCTTTGTATGATGCTTCATACCTGCTGAAACCAAGACTTTTGACCGACATAATAATACTTAGCTTTTTTATACATAGATGGTCACATGGCCCTCTTTCAA